TTGACTGTTTTACAAACTTCAGACCTTGAGAAATTCACATAGCCAACATGATATTCATGAGATACTATCAGCTAAGAAAGTCCCATTCTATTTAATGCTTTTCTGTAGTTCATATTCAATGGACATGATATGGCAAAATCACTAGTCCTCTCTGTCTTTCTGCCTCTATTCCTCCTCCCCTCCGCCTCCTTGTCCTAGAGTAACGGAGCTCCAAGAATGTGCTATCCATGCACAAAGCTTCATTTCACTGTTTCATTTTCCCTTTTCCTATTCTCTGGCTTAACCCTTTTCCCATTCCCCCATCCCCTGCTATAGTCAGGGTGAAAGAAGAACATTAGCATTCAAACATTATCCTGGGAAGGAGGAAGGGGATTATCACAATGTTGTGGACTACAAAATCTATGAAGAGTCAATTCTTGAAGAGAACTGTTACACATTAGGACTTAGTTCCACTTTGGTATATTCTTTGTAACACATCTTTAGGCATAGAGATCCCCAAGATTATCCAAATATTCTGGTGTTGGAGTGTGTGCATGAGAAGGGGGACAGGCTACAGATTATAGGATACAGATGTTGGCTGTGATACATTTTAATTTTTTATCCTGATGAAAAAGGTGATTATTGCATGGCTGCTAAACCGATAGACTGGTGGCTTGGTTTCACAACTTATTTAAACAGCTGTTGTTTTGCTATTTGCATAACTGATGACATGCACTTTTGCCAAATATAAAAGTATATATTTTTCCCCACTGTCACTACTCTATGTTTACATGGCTGACACATTCATACCCAATATGAACCAAACAAAGCTTTTGTTCATAGTAGCTACTATTTTTATATGTAAGCATTATAGGTAAAATTTCCTGTACAAGATAAATTATACAACTAAGTAAGTTACAAAAAGCTTTAATACAAAAAATCCCTTATTTCATGGAATTTCTTTTTGTTGTTGTTGGTTAGAATATTCCCTTTGCTAGAAGTAGTCAGTTAATGAGTGACAGTGTGCTTACTTGTATATGTGTTGCTTGTGTCCTCATTTTTACTGCTTTTTTTCTTGCTGATTTTCTTGGCATCTTTGGATGCTTTCCAATTCATTAGGAATTGTCTTTCCATATTTTTAATTTCTTTTCCATCGAGAAATTCTGGATAAAAATACATATATTTTAAAATTACAATATATACATGTAAACATATAAATTAAAATATGCATTGCTGGCTTAGGCCACATGAACTTAAGGCACGTCATTTAAGCTGGAATAAGTTTCTTTTAAAAATACATGTTTACACAACTTTCATATTTATGTTAAGCTTTTATTTAATTTTAGATTTTTTTCTGATTTCAGAAAGAATATGTGCTTAAACATAAAAGGGCTGTGTAATTAATATCTACACCCCTCCTTTTTATCGCTGCCAAAGATAATAATAACTGTAAACAATTTGGGATATGGCTTCCCTTCTAGGGTCATATGTAAACTATATTGTTATTTTTAAAAACAAAAATGTTGTTATACTCAATAAAAATTAAATAATACTATCTATCACTATGTTACCCTCAGTAGAGTGCTGAGCCTCACAGCTCACAGCAACCTAAAACTCTTGGGCTTAAGCGATTCTCTTGCCTCAGCCTTCCAAGTAGCTGGGACTACAAGTGCCTGGTATAACACCTGGCTATTTTTTGTTGTAGTTGTCATTATTGTTTAGCTGGCCCAGGCCGGGTTTGAACCCACCAGCTTTGGTGTATGTGGCTGGCGCTGTAACCACTGTGCTATGGGTGCCAAGCCTGCTTAAATAGTATTATGGGTTGGCTGTGGAGGCTTACCCCTGTAATCCTAGCACTGTGGGAGGCCAAGGCAAAAAGATCACTTGAACTCAGGAGTTTGAGACCAGCCTGAGCAAAGAGAGACCCTGTCTCTACTAAAAATAGAAAAATTAGCCAGGTATGGTGGTGTGCATCTGTAGTCCCACCTAGTCAGAAGGCTGATGCAGGAGGATTGCTTGAGCCCAGGAATTTGAGGTTGCTGTGAGCTAGGATGAAGCCAAGGTACTCCAGGTACCTTCAGTGACAGAGTAAGACTCTGTCTTAAAAAAACAACAAAAAAATTGTGATTATTATTCTTAGGAAAAAGCAACAACTGAGTTTCTTTAATTGAGTAAATAACTTTTGAATGTTGTAAGATATTTGGAAAATATAAAAAAAACCTTAAAATTATCTTTTTCTATAGTGAGGAAAAAAATAACTGAATACTACTGAAACACGTTGGCATATTTCTTAGTATTTTTTTGTTTCTTATATATGTGTATGTATTTATGTGTTTATCATATAAAATTGGAACCCTCTATTTATATAGTTTTGGATCCTGCTTTTTAATATTGTATTGTGAGCAT